CATTAATTAATAAAATATAGTCAAAGTAGAATATGTGAATAGTGGAAAAAGTCCAATGTTGCAATTAAAAGAGAACGGAGGTAGTATTAAGGTTTATTCACTGGAACTTATTTTAGTGTTAGACCGCTCTAATCTTGACGACGATCAAGAATAACTATATAGAGTATAGTAGAAAGGTTGCTCTAATAGACCTTTTACATTGAAATTCGGAATCAAGACTCTATTTATCTACGTACATGTGTTTGTGCGTTTTATTTAGGAAAACAAATTTTCATTTAAACAATGTGTTTAATAATTTAATAAAGGAATGTTGGGCCGCGGGTATGCGGTGCCAGCAGTTCTGCCAACCTGCTAGTGCAATCGATCTTGTCGCTTTGCCTATTCTATAAGAGGGAAATAGCGTGCTTGATAAGAATTTTATTAACGAGCTTTTATACCATCATTTATAAACGCTTTTATACTTAAAGAATAAAATCCTCACACATATGTCGTCTCGTTTTGCTAGAATTACTTTAATCAACGACTGGACCAAATACAAGGATGATAAAATACACACGAAGAAACCCGACTAGAAAAGGTCAATCAAATGCATCCCGATGAACAAAAAAACCAAAGAAAAATGAACAAAAGAGGTGAAAGCCGCCCGACTTTCACCAATGCCGGCCGGTTTTCACCGGCCAGCCTTCCATTTGCTGTCCAACGAAGGGAAAAAACATCCGGAGCAACAACGGACGAAAGCCGCCCGACTTTCGTGAAAGGCGGCCGATGTTCGTCACCGCAAAAATTAATCCGGAAAACAATTACAAAAGCCGCCCGGCTTTCGACAGAAACCAGCCGGCGTTCGGCCCCTGGAGCGAAGTAACAATAATTTAAAAGTGCAAATAAAAGCCGCCTGGCTTTTGCAAATAATGCCCGACTTTCGTCTGTGAGAGATTAAAACATCAACGGTCATCACAATCATTCGGGGAAAACACCAAATTTCATTAAGGAGCTTGCTTCTTTGTCTAAAAATGGCCGTTGAGAGCTCCATATTTAAGTGTTTTGAATCCCTCTCAACACTCCATTCCATATTCTACACAGTATGGAACCCCATATCTTAACATGGTATTAGAGCCGAAACTGATCCATGGTGCAGTGTGGGCCCCCTTATGAAATATGATGACGTGATTATAAAAAAATGACAATGATGAATTGAAGAAAAAACAAATGATGTCACGATTTAAACGAAGTGTCTGGTTGTGAGGAGGGATGTTGATTTCCCACACCGGAAACGTGTGAAAGAATTAAGTGCTATATTAAGATCTGGATTACTCCTCCTATCGGGTTGACCTTTTAGGATGGAACCACAGATCTTAACAAGTCTGCCTGTGTAATCGACCGTGGGCCCGTGGCGCTTTGCATGTTCTATAGGGGGGGCATGCTACACTATCATCGATTGCTTTTAGTGTAACGGTAAGCGCAACGATCCACATAAAATTTTCTCGAAATAGAAATAAAAACATTTTGGAATTTCAAAATATGAATATCGTATTTTTATTTCCTAAATATGAGTAATTAATGTCATGCTTTGAAAATATTGTCACGTTTAAAGTCTCATAATGTCAAACATGACAATAATTGTTCGTATTTAGATATTGAAATCATGATTGTACTTTTTAAGAGTTCATAGACATTTTCACTCCTATATAAGACAATTTCTTAATTAAATAAATAAACATTAAAAACCAAGATATATGACTCTATTTTTTTAGTAGTGTTGTGGATTCCGTTTTGAATATTACCCCCGCCTCTTAAGTACTACCTCCGACCCAAATTGTTTTGTAAAATCAACATTTTTTGATCAACCAATGTTAAAGTTAAATTCTCTCTATTGATAATTGATTCAATTTTAATAATTATAATTTACATATTTAGAAACTATATTAAAATCTAAATTATAATCTAATTAAGAATTGATATCCTAATTAAGATGATAAAAAAATTGATATCCTAATTAAGTAATCAAAATGAGTTGTTGTCTTATTGATCCAAAAAAGTCAAATTTGCATCTCAATTTGGATGGAGAGGGTTAGGCATGGACCCGGTTCGGGCCGCCCGGCCCGGGACCGGACCGGCCCGGCCCGCCACTGTGCGGGCCCGGAACCGGCCCGGTTCTTGGGTCCGGGTCCGGGTCGGGCCTAGGCCCAGTGGGGGGTGCGGGTCCGGGTCGGGCCTAGTATTTGGCGAACCGGCCCGGCCGGGTCGGGCCCGGGCCCGGGCCGAATGGATTTTTTTTTCCATTTTTTGGGGTTAGCTGGGTTGGGCTTGATGGTTAGGAGGGGTGGGGGGGGGGGTGAGTGGGGGGGTTAGGAAAGCAAAAAAAAAAAATTATGACCGAACCGGAGGCCCGGCCCGGCCCGGCCCGGACCCGGCCCGGACCCGGTGGCTACCCGGGCCGGTCCCGGGCCTTCCTTCCCAAAAAAAAGCCCGGCCGGGCCCGGCCCGGGTCCATGACTAGAAAGGGTATCTTACATTTTTCGAATTTTGACCACAACATGAAATTCTATAATAATCAAAATAGATAAAGCTAAAATTACCTTTTAGTTGAATTGGCATATTTTGCTTAAAAGATTAAATTTAACTTTCTTACATAACGTGACAAAAAAAACTTTCTTTCATAAATATTATCCTTTATTCAATTAATAAATATATCCTACCTTCGTTTCATATAACTTGCATAATTCAAGTCACCTCAATCAAAATTACAACAATCTAATCAATTTTATCATTACCAAACCAAATTAGCAATCCAACGCTTTCGTTTACTCCTCTTCTCTCCAAATTTTATTTAGAGAATTCTTACGAGTATTTTATACTACGTAATACATTTAGAACTGGGTAAGTTTTTTTAATCTGATTTTAAATCTATTACGAGTATTTAAATAATTCTTATAAATCAATATATATATATATATAAGAGGAACTTTTTAAGAGCATACGGCGTGCCACATAATCCTGCCATGTCATCATATATTACAATTATTTAATTACTATTTATACATTTTATTGTTTTTATTACATTCTATTTTTATTGTATATTGATATGGAAACAAAAGATCGTATGATAGAATCCACCTTATTTGGTAACTTTTTCAGAATCTACTACTTACTCCGTATTAATATGGATATTTATTAATATATATATATATAAGAGGAATTTTAAGAGCATCTGGTGTGCCACATAATCCTGCCATGTCATCATATATAACAATTATTTAATTACTATTTATACCTTTTTTATTACATTCTATTTTTTATTACATATTGATATGGAAACAAAAGACCGTCGCGTATGATAAAATCCACCTTATTTGATAACTTTTTCAGAATCTACTACTTACTCCGTAGTAATATGGATTGTTATTAAAATATGCAATTATTGCAACCACAACAATAAATAGTCATCCGTGCACATAGACTTTATTTAATTTAATTATTTTTATACTTTTATTTTTATTACATTCTATTGAGAAGTGAATTATCCGTGTTTTGCGCACCTAACAAATAAATCATTAAGTTCCTATCAATTTTGTTCTTCAAAGTTATTTTATAAATAAAGTAATAATAGTGTTCCATTTCGTAAAAAGTACGGAGTAATATTTTATTTTTCTAAACTCAATTTTTTGAATGTTTTCTAAACTCAATGTGATAATGACTAAATTTATCAGACTTATATTTGCAATTGTGTTAATACTTCGTATTTTTCTGCATCATCATACCATTCTTTCTTAATTGTTGAGATAATGATGAAAATTATAACCACAAGAGTTTTTAACTTAAAAATGAAATTGATATATACTATTAGATATTCATATATGAAAACATTTAAAACTTCTGATCAAGTATCTTACCTTTATGAGAATGGAAATGGAAATTCATATCATACATATATGAATACGTTTAGCCCAACAAAAAAAGTAAACATGTTTAGTTGTTTCTTTATTTTTACAACTACAATTTAGATTTTCCTTCACTTTTGACATAGATTCCTAATCTAAATTAGGAAATCTTCATACATTTAGGGTGTTTTTAATTGGACTGGTTTCAGTCTTAGACAAGATCGGATCAAATATCAATCATAATTATTAATATTATTATTATTATTATTATTACTATTATTATACATAAAATAGACATCCAGACCAAGTTAGAAATGAACATGTCAATCTAATTAAAAATATCCTTATTAATGACATTTTCAATGTGACAAAATAAATGAGTAAATTGTAAAAATGATCCCTTTTTTACATTTCAATGTGACAAAATAATGAGTACAATGTAAGAGCTCACTAATAAATTTACAAATACTTATTTCATACCCATGTTGAATATGAAAAAATTAAAAATAATTTTTTAGATGCTTAATGAAGTAATATAGAGGATGTGAAATTAATTAAGAAACTTTTGTATGAATTCTTTAAAATCGGGTTCATAACCATTATGTTTAGTTGAGATGCTTATGTAGAAGTCCAATTTAAATATTTTTCATATAAATTTGAATTACTTTTATTAATTATATATGATTTCGAAAATATCAAATATACAGTTAGCTAAATTATGTACTACCCGTGCATCGCACGGGCTTGAAAGCTAGTTATTATATAATTTCAAGCTAGCTTTAAATCAAGTAAAAATAAAACAAAGTACTCCGTATTCCGTAAGAGTTACTCGCGCCCCTCACCTCCTGTAATCTTGCGCAACTATTTGCAGTTTTGCACTATCACAATTCACAAAAAGGCATTGCACGTCTCCAAAGATTACCAAAAAGATTATGATGCAGTTGCTATTAACAAGTACTACGTATTTAATTTGCAAAAAAAGTACTGCGTATTTAAGATAAAAGTTGCGCCTAAATTAATTTTTTTAAGACACAAGTCAAATGACATATTTAGAGATCGTACTCAATATTTTTTGAATATTTGATTTGTAATCAATCTTAAGTTCATATTTACAATTTGTTTCGCGATGAATTTGAGTGTATTATGGCGATTAAAATTAGTTTACAGAGAAAGAGACTATTAAAGTGTTAAGCATATGGTATTATTATTGTGCAAACCTTAAACCCCTCCATTATGATAATAAATAAATAGTCTAAACCCCTGCCTCCATTAAGATAATGGATTCAGATTTAGATTCAGATTAGGTTAGTCAAGTAAACAAAGAAAGTAATGCAGTTACAGTGTGTGGTTTCACTATCCAGTGTGTGAGCAACTCATTGCAGGACGCAAATCAAATGCCTGCCTCGCAGAATCGTTGGAATTGATTGCTTCAGTCACTTGCAAGTTTTTGCATATAACTCATCAAGAACACCATTCTCACCACCCATCTTTTCCTTCGGAACTGAACCACTTTTCTCCCCTGATATTTTAGGATCAAATTGCCAGTCACAAATTTATTGACATGATATCTTAAACCAGTTTACAGATTGTGCATGAGACTGACGCATAAAATTTTGATTTTGTTTTCGGAAAACATAAAAATGTGATCTTGTTTTCGAATTTTTAATTTGCACAAAGAATGATAGGAATAGGAATTGGATTGGGATTAGATTGTCAATTGATGCCAGTTTAACCCAATGATCTTAAATATTAATCACGGAAGATTTATGAGGTAGGAGACTAGGAGGTGGGAAGTCTACATAAATATTTGTATCTTTATATAGTTTGCAGGAGGCCAGAAAATCTATAATACAAGTCTTACATTACCTGGAAAAAGTTTTCTAATAAAAAAGGGATTAGATTGTCTTCTCCTATAATCAAATGGTCAAGACAAGACAAAGCAAGTACCAAGATCCATTTTCAAAATCTATTCAATATACTCCACATATTCTCATACACCATAGAAACTTCATACCTTGCAAACATCATATCATAGTATATAGTATATACATTTACACACTGCTAGCAAACTCCACTATGTTGTGCAAGCATATTAACACAACATAGAGGAGTTTTGTCTTGACATCGTCTAAAAGGACCTTACTTTTCCTTTCAGCAGTTTCATGCTTCTACACAAAAATCTTTGGGTCCTTTACTAGTTTACTTCTTATATCATGCACAATTACCTTTTATTTTCTCTTAGAAAATCCAGTTGCATGTTCCAAACTCTCAGTTATTACGGTGGAAGCATCCAGTAGGTGAAATAATGTTTTAAAGGAAACATGGTATACTTTAACATCTTTATATATCTAAGATATACTAAAATTAGGGAGGCTAATTGCATAAATTTGACTATTTGAATAAAACAGAAATATATTTTCATTATTGCTAGTAAAATAGTTATTCTTTAACAGAAGATTTGTTGAAGCAACAAATCATAGAGGCAACAATAACAAAAGTATACATGCTTGATGAGATTCATGAATATTGAAGAATATTTATGTAAATTTAAGTACCTGTTGAATAGAATCATCAGTTCAGTCTGGAATTGTTGGAGCAGAGTAAAGGGGTTACATTAGAAACCATTTTGCTAGTAGATTCCTGATTATTACCATCATCATGATATTGAGAAGCTGCATTCCCCTCTTCTGTGTTGCTGGACAAAGGATCAGAAGCAGTAGGAGAGCGTTTTGAGCTAAGATCGAGTCTCTCAATCATTCTGGCTACACCAGCAATACCTGCACTCATCTCCCGTTGTACTTCTTTGCCAAGTTCCTTCACAGTTGTATTCCGAGCTAGTAATTTTTCCTTGAACCCTCTTGTACTTTTAGAGAATGTTTCCTTATACCTGACCCAATAATTAATTAAAAGTCTCAACCAAAGATCTTAAAAAATTTTGTTTCACCAAGACTGAACTTTTTAATTCTAGCAACGCACACTTATGGAAAATCATCAACTCTAGTTGCATTTAAAATTTATTTGTTGCTTTAACAAAACTTGACAAGCTTTTTTTAGATATTGCAGTACTTCCTCCGTTCTTTAATAGTTGGAACACAATGACTTTTACACTATTCACTTACTCTACTTTGACTACATTTATTTAATGATGTATTAAAAATGAAAAATTTACTCGTATAGAAATATTCACATAATAAAAGTTAAGGATGTGTTTTTTTGTAGATTTCAATAATAGTCAATTAAATATTTTGATAGTCAAAGGGATGTCTTTGCAAAAGTGAAATTCAAAGTGTTCCAACTAAATAAGAATGGAGGTAATATAACTATATAAGTTTTCTTGGGGTACTTTTATGCAAAAACTTCAATAACTCTTGCAAAAAATATTGTCTATTGTCCACAAAAAACTTTTTTTCAGGACAAAAACAAATTTTTAAAGTGGGCATGTGGCCTTCTCGATTATGGATACTTTGTGTTGTTGCTTATCCAGTGGTTGCGAAGGGCCAATTGTTGAAAAATCTTTCGAGGTCTTTTTAACTTCATTAAGTCTGGCTTAATTGTGCAAAACTTAAAGACAGAGAATAAAATTAATAAAAACTAATGCCTAATGGCCAACTATCGCTGCCAGTCACCAAAATTTTAATTTTAATATTTTTGATCAAAATTTATTTTTAATGAATTGGTTTTTAGAAATATATTTATTTTCATTAAATATTTTTTCAAAAAATTTAGCATGTGGCAGACATGTACTAACAGTGAATAGTTGGAACACACTTTGACTTTTAAACTATTCACATACACTGCTTTGAGTACATTTATTTATTACTCTTACATAGTAATGTATAAAAAAAATTAAAAAATATTACTCGTACAAATGTTCACAAAATGAATTTCTGGATGTAATTTTTTGTAAATTTCACTAATAATCAATTAAATATATTAGTAATCGAAGGAATGTGTTTGCATAAGTGAAATTCAAGTGTTGAATCTAAATAACAATGGAGGTAATATAAGTTTTTTGGGGTACTTTTTATAGAAAAATGTCATCAAATCTTGCGAAAATTATTGTCTTTTCATCTTTTGTCAACAAAAAACTATTGTCCAGGAAAAAAACAAATTTTAAAGTGCACAACTGTTTAGTTCTTTAGGGACTGATGGATTGAAAAGGATGTGGGGGAGGGGGGTTAAACTGAACTCCGTACCTGGATGAAGCAGCAGAGAGTTTATATTTTATGGACTCTGAGAATGCAAGCAACTCAGATGAACTTGACCTTTGAGGACTCTCAGGAAATTCACTGAATTTGTTTCAAAATTAGTTAGAAATAGTGGTAGCCAAGGCAGAAAGCATGAAAAGAAAAACCATTCACAGAAGTTGAGAAGATGAAAGCAAATATAGGGTATGAAAGCAAGTTGTAAGTATCAACAGTCAGAAAGGCATCTCTTGCTTTGATAAAACAGTTAGTTGTAGAAGAACAGATGGTGCAGCATATACCATTGATTAGTTGAATCATCTCCACCTGCTGCAGGAGCAGGGGCTACATTTGATAAAGATGGAAAGGTTGACAATGATGTGGTTTGGCCAATGCTGCTAGATGTTGTTCTAGAAGGAGGTAGACCACTCCCAAGAAATTCATGAACTCTTCCTTGAGACTCTTCTGGGTAGTCTGTTATGTGATGCAGATCTGAACCAGCTTCAGTGGGTGCAGAAGGAAGAACCACCCCTGAAGACGTCATTCTTATCATTCTATTAATGGATCGAGCTCTGCTGGTAAGTGCAGCAAAACGTCGCATTATCCTCTCTTCAAAATCAGAACCATCCTATGTAAAGAAACCATAACTCACAGTTGCAAATTAAAATGCAGCATAAAGTTTTAAAAAAACAGGTATAGCTGATTCTACAAATTCTTACCGCATAATCCATACTGTCACTTTCATGAATTTCAGGGGCATAGTGCAAACTGTACCTTGACCTTGCATTATTTTCACTCTCCACTACAACCAACAGATCTTGGCTGGATAACGAAAACAGTAAAGATAGAAGTCAGACTACAAGGAGAGAGGGTTCAAATCAAGAGGTTTCTCTGTTTTAATGACAGTTTGAGTGATCGATTTGGATGCAAAAAATTTGAGTACCTTGCAGGTTCTTCTAGTACAACTTTCCTTGAACAAATAGGACATTCTTGGCTTCTCTGAGACCTGAACAGAAACAAGAGGTGCTCAGTATAGATAAGGAGTAAATAGACCTAAAAACAAATTAAGATATTAATGATGCAGCATACCACTCGAGTATACACTGCAGGTGATATTCATGTTTACATTTGGTGACCTGAAAAGTAAGGCGGCATAGAACACCAGGTAATAACAGTTAGCTCCATATAATGCAACCATAATAAATAGATTGCCATCAAGGCAGAAGGAATCAAAAGTTACTCTATGTTGCAGGTAGAAGAGGATAACATGACCTGTGATATCCACACAGTGGAGTGAATATGGAAAGATTAAACAAACATATTGACTAAGGGATGTTTACAAAATAATAAACACATCCATCAAAATCCCGTACGACTAAATGTATGGACTTTGATAGAATATATATTTGAAGATTCACAAGGATCTAGTTTAGAGAACAGAGCTCCAACAAAACAGGATTAATTGCGTACAACAGCAGCACCAGCAATTCCTTTTTTTTAAATAACATAACAGCTACGCGAAGCCTGATAAAACCACAAGCTGATGAAAACACCTTGCATATATCAAGATACATCTTCAATTTGCAAAACCTAACTGTGTTGTATAAACAAATTACTAGCACAAGCTCCCTCATTCCATAAAGGTTTGTCAGCTCACAAGTCAACAAAATTCTTTTTTTACTTCGAACTTGTGTCAAGATTAAATTTTAGTACATCAGAATTCTGTTTTTCTGCTTCAACTATACTTTTGGTATATTTTCTGACTTTCTGTATACGTAAATTTTAATTTTTAATAATACTTCAAATATTATTAGGGAAGAATCAAGTTTATCGGTCAAAACAAGTAAACAGTAAATAATTAACAAACCAATTCGGGATTAAGCTAGTATACTTCAACAACATAAAAACTAGGAATTGAGAATCGACAGCCAAAGCTGGAATCTCAAGCGATTATCTTCTACCTATTGGTCAACAGTACATCACATGTGTATAGAATCCTGTAGGGGAGAGTGTGAGAGGGCTTACAGTAGGAGGATCATTAGAACTGAACGGCTCGAGACAAATGCTGCATCCGTCTTCGAAGCCGTCTTCTTCTGCGGCGGAAGTTGCAGATGAAGACGACGAGTAAACGACTGACGCCGGAATTTCTGAAGGGAGAATCGGATCAGTCGCCATTGATCACTGTAACAATGTCAGTGTAAATATTCCCTATCTATGCGCGTAGGAGATAAGGAGGTGAACAGTGCCGGAGGAGTGCAGAGAGAGAAAGGTGAGGGCAGAACGCCAAAAACAAAGAATAATGGAGCGAAGAAGAAGGCGCAGGAAGAAATTAATCCTATTCCCATTCAGACGGTTGTTGGAATCAATCAACTCTTAAAGTAGTACTCATCAAGTTTGCTCTTTTTTTTTTCTTTTTGAAATTACAAAAAAAATTGTGGCTTATGTTTGAGTTTATTTTCAAATATATTACTCCATTCTACAGTATATGTCATGTTTACTTGAATTTAAAATTTTAATTTAGTATGATTAAATTATTACTATAAACACTAATCACATTTTTAGTATGTTTGGTCATATCCAAATCGATTGTATTGACTCATTCTGTTGACATTTATGAAGTTCTAACTGAAATTCATGGATTGGCTGATTCTACTAATTTATAGAAAAAATATAGTAAGTATATTTTATTATTAAAATAAAGAAGAAATTATATGAAAAACAGTTAAAATGATTATCCACAATAATTTCAGTCATTACAGTCAGAAAAGTAGTCACATCTTGCTTTTTATTATTATTACACAATTCAGCGCGCGAAATCAAAATTTAAGTGTTTGGTGAAAATGTTGCTTGATAAGCCTGATACGCCAAAAAACAGGGTCACCAAACGAGCCTTTGTAAATACTCTTTATTTTAGGCACTCCAATTCTTAAATAAAAGCAATATGTTAAATTTTAAAAAATATGATTTTTTTTAGTTACTCATACAGATTTATACTCTACTCGCGTGTCAAAACTCAAATCGCCTCCAACTACATCAGCTTTCTTGTTTTGGATTCACCACTTGCGTCTAGACAAAAAAAAAAAAGAATATTGTCATACACCCTAGGGGTACCAGACTTATGCTAATGAATCTTCGAAATCCACTAAGGCAAATCTAGTCGAGACCGAGCCCCATCAAGGTCGAGCCCGTCAAGTCTGAGCCCAAGACCGGTTCTCATATAAGCCCGAAATTGCAATCGAGATCGAGGCTGATCCTCTGCTAAGGTTGATAACATCCCCAACACTATGACCAAGCTTCTAGCCAAATGTGACCTCAAATACTCAAGAGCATCCAAGACAACCTTGGTAGTCAAGGAAGACGAGTTTCACAACCAACGAGCTTAGCTTGCACATTGAGTTGAGCTCGAGATCTCAAACAGACATCATGGATTTAAACATTTTAACACTAAGAACACACACTACAGGTGTATCTTTTGGGTTTGCATAACTCATTCAATTGCAGCAACGTAACTAGCATTTGGTTCTTTCATTAAGAGCTCAGATTTTAACCAAGTTTAGAACTTTCCCAAAAGCTCTCACAACGACAATGGTGAGGAGAACACAAATAGACGAGCAACAAGTCTGGTGGCTAACCCAGAGCCTTCCGTGGAGACCACAACAACCTCTGGCGTCAGGAGGGCAACCAAGGGCAAGCAAGATACCTTTACTATTGTGGATCACTGGCAAAAGATCCAACATCACTCTCCAGACTTGCGCTCGCTGATTTCACAACATCAGGATGCTTGCACCGTTTGGTCAGGTGGTTCCGCGGCTACAAAATCTGTTGGGTGCAGACCCCTCAACCATAGTGGGCGCCCTCATCTCGAGACTGCAACAGATTCTCCCCATGGTGCAAACCCAAACGGTGATCAGAACTCAATCCAATGCCTCTAGGTCGGTCCCCTCAGTGGCTTCTAGGCCACGCTCTTTGATGGTGGGATCAATCGAGATCCCAGTGCGAGGGGAACCGCCTGAGCCATAGCTGATCCAGTCCTTACTACACCAGCAAGCGGCAGACCCCCATCCATTAACGGGAACCCTCGTGGTTCCAAGGCAGACAACTGTTATTATTGTGTCTCTAGTACAGTAGGCTAGCATTTCTTGCCACATGTGGCGCAATTTGTGATCCTATCACCACCCCCAATCCAGCTTCCACGCTACACAACACAACATATGTCTTACAGCTGCCACAATGATGAAGGTGTCTACGTCATCACCACCCAACAATCTTCCATCTTCCGGAGCCCTAGAGGGATGACAATCCCAACCCCTGGATTCAAGTATGCGGGGGGGGGGGGGGGGGGGGGGGGGGGGGGGGATCTTCAACTGGCTAGGCGATAGAACCACAGCCCACCAACACTGATCAGTGCACCCCCAGAGTGAAAATCACGGGTCTTTGAGCCCCAGACGTCCATCATTGCCGCCAACAGTGACCACTTCAGTGCCCGGAGAGGACTCTAGAACAGGTCCCGACTCTAGAGCGCTTGGAGAAATCGCTCCCCACGACTAACCCTTGGCCCTCCTCCTATGGCAACACCAGAATTCTCCGCCCCAGCAATTTCATTTTTGCCTAAATAAAGTCAGTCATACATGATTCCAGTCAGATTGCATGATTAGGTCTCATATGTATATTTTGTCATCCTGCTACTATATTTGTGTGAATGTATATGTAATTACATTTTAATATGTAGTTTGAGTTCATATTTTTCATTCAACTTTGATTAGGTTCTTAATTTTTGAGATCTTCAATCAAATACCCTTAGAGAAAGGCAATTGGGTTGTTTATTTTATTTCAACTGTTAAAATTTAAAGGGAAAAGGTGCAAATAGGCCCATGTACTAACCAAAAAAGGTCAAATAAGCCCTTATTTAGGATGTTCTGTCCGACCGTCGTCATTTGGGGTGGTTCCCGGTGGAATTTTTTGATGAAATTTTTTGATCATCTTATTCATTAAGTCTAGTTTACTCATTCCACATTTCAGCTAAAACTTCAGTCGGGAAGGCATTCAAATGAATTCTTGAAAATAACTGCGCAGTTAGAAGCGCAGTTATCTTCAAGAATTCATTTGACTGTCTTCTCGATTGAATTTTTAGCTGAAATTTGGTATGAGTAAACTAGACTTGATAAATAAGATGCTCAAAAAATTTCATCAAAAAATTCCACCGGGAACCACCCGAAATGACGACAGCCGAACAGAGCCTCCTAAATAAGGGCTTATTTGACCTTTTTTGTTAGTACATGGGCCTATTTGCACCTTTTCCCAAATTTAAATAGAAATTATATCATCAACAATTCTTCAAATTAGGACACCGGAAAAATCCATCCTCATTCATTAATTTATTCGAATAGGTGAATGATATGGTGCTCATAAAAAATGAAGGTAATGTATCTATCACACATGTGATTGGTCAACGTTATTTTTTGATAATATATTTATATTTAAATTATTCAATTGCACTATTGTGATAAGTTCATATGGACAATGTACTATAAAAATTTCCATTTGAATATTAATTGGGTGATGCGTCAAATGATTTAAAGATTACGATTGTGGGACAAAGATTATTTGGGAATATTATTAAAAAAAAAGAAAATTTGTTATCAAGATTCAAGTGTGAATTATTTTAGAAATGCATTGAATGCATGTCCTCTAAAAACTAATAATAAGAGTATCATTGTTGATGAAGACTTTTAAACTCTAAAATTATTTAAAATTTATTTAGTGAAAATGGCATGGCAATGACAATACTCTAATAGGCATGAAAGGAATTAATAAAATAACAAATCACAAATATGCATGTAAACATTGTAATGTTGTTTATTTCAAAAGATCATATATCGATTTAATAATAATATAAACATGATAATAATCGAGAGTTGGAGATTAGTGACGAAAGTGGACGGGAGAGATGCTCGCTAGGGTTTGGTATCCCAAAAGGGATTCGTCGGTGTTTGTTTTTTTCTCTCGAGCTTTAGTGAGTGGGTTAGATAGCGGGAAGATTTTGAACGGCGAAAAAGGCAGAAATGCTTCGATCATGGCAAGAGGAAAAGCAAGAGACATGAAGAGGGCATAAACAAAGAGGGAGCAAAGTGACGTGGACGAATTAGAACAAGCATGCGACTATCTAGTGCTAGATGATGACGAAGAGACTCTGGCCAGTACCGTTTCATCGGAAAAATCGATACACTTTTCATTTTTTCGGGATATCATAGCTTCTGTTTGGAAACTCGTTAAGGAGTAACTATTTTAGACTTAAATTCTCGCCACTATTTGTTTCAATTTTATCATGAAGTATTTAAATGGGGTCCTTAACGAAGGCCCTTGGCTATTTGATCAAAATATCATTGGGTTATGCAAGCTTGAAGAAGGGGATCTCCCTTTATCTGTGTCTTTGAACATGGCGGAATTTTGGATACAAGTTCATGATTTAGTTCTTGGGTACTTTAATGTAGATATAGTTGAAAGAATTTGAAATTGGATGAGGACACTTATAAAAGTTGATGAGCATAACTTTTCACCTTCTTGGAATTCTTTTATGCGAATTAAAATGGCTCTAGATGTGAGAAAATCACTCAAAAGGGGGTTGAAATAAATTCGACAATTGGGAGGGTTAAGCTTTTGGGTTTATGTCCACTATGAGAAGTTCCATAATTTTTGCTTTATGTGTGTGGTGTTATTGGGCATGAGGAAAAATAATGACCATGCCCAATGGAGAAAAATGAGGAAGGACAAACTAAACCATTTGGTCTATGGCTTAGAACCTCCAGGGGTAAATTGGAAAAAGAACATAAAAGGTGGTTAGTTCTGGCAGGAAGGGGTCATCAGTGTGAGCATATTTTTGCTGACATAGGTAAGAGTCAAAGTACGGTGCTCAAATTGAGTTATGATAAGGAAGATGTCAGTGCAGAAGAATATGAAATGGTTCATGCCATCTACTCTAGGTAGGAAGTTAAACCAACCAAAAGGCTACTCTGGTCAGGAAGTTAAAACCGACCAAAAGCGGAAAAGAGTTGAGGAGGTGGAGTACATATCTCCAAAAATGAGGGAGAGGCGAGGTGCCTGACGGTAGCTCACCTAACGAAAAATTAAGGATCCCACTGGACAGCTGAGATGGAGGGGTAGACAATATTGTAGTTGAATTATTTAATAATTGGTTATTGTTTTGTTCTTATTTTTTATTATTATGTCACACCTTTTTATTGAAATGATACTCATATTTATTAGATGGGTTTGAGAGTTTTGGTTGGATTGTTAGTTTAAAAGGAAACATTATGGCTTCCAAAGTCGACTGTTGTTTCAAATAGCTC